CTTCCAGCTCTTCAATATTAACGTATCCAGCATGAAATTTTATTCCAATGATGAGATCAAACAATCCAATATTCCGGTAAGTGCGTTTGTTGCCTAATTCGCGTCGTTCATCCGTTTCCTAAATTTCTTTCTCCTGAATTGAGATCCTTCGAATCTATCACTTCCTAGGTACGTGCGAATGATCCATCAAACTAGGTTTAACGTTTAGGATTCGTTGCTAGCCTCGAGGTAAGGACTATTGCAACCAAAATTACTATTTTGCCTCTATATTGTATAAACTAGGGTTTGTGCTATGATTTGAGTTTCTTTCTGAAATTTAATGGATAATTCGTCTATCATAGTATGAGTATGATGATGTATTCTTTTCTGGGAATTTATGAACGTGTGATTTTTGGTGAATTTATCAAATCAGTTTATCATGGCTAAAATTGTGATTTTTGATGATTTTTCTTTTGGGATTGGAAAATTTTGATGATTGTTTTGGTATGAGTTGAAGTATGATTTGAGACTATTATAACTGGTCATATTGAAAATATATTATGGGTTCAGAATACTCCAATTTGATTATTTTGGTGGTAGTAGTAAATGCTACTTTTGGGAAGTGGTTGTTTGGGTTAAACCCTCTTTTTGGAAAGTGTTGTGAGATCAAATCTTTTGGGATAAATTATATATTTTTAAATGTATAATTTGGTATGAAAATTTACATATATATTCTGGAGTTATAAATATCGTTATTGGATTATTTTGAATATGTTATTAAATACTATTTTGGAACTAGTTTTGGATAAACCCTAAATTGTAAGTTTCTCTGCCGATCCAAAATGGTTTCCTCGTATTATATGCTATTATTTGATTAAAGTGTGAATTTTGAATATGTATTATTTGAAGTGACATTAAATTTATAGTATTTGAGAAAGTTGAGATATTGGGGTATTAAATATTTTTAAACACCATTGAGAATATTTGGAGACTTGAGAAATATTCTGTGCTATGTGATTATTAAGTGCTATGTGATTATGTATTGAGTTTTTGAATTATGTATATGTGTTATTTAAAGAGATATTTAATCTATAGTATTTGAGAAATACAATCTATGTACTTTTGGGGTATTAAATACTTTTAAACACCTTTTAGACTATTTAGAGAGTTTGGAAAATATTTTGAAGTGTATCTTGATTCAAGATGAAAATTAACATTTTCATAAGAGGTGAGCACCCCGGGAGAAATCCGTGGTGTCAGTTTTTCACATCCGGATAAATGTGGAGGATGGTTAGGGCTACTACTACTTGAAGAGAACAAGTTTAGTGGCCGTTTCGATTCAAGAGATAGTGATGGGAACTGGATTCCGGGATGAGTTCGTAAATAACAACGACTCATTGGGCTTCGGACATAAGTATCCGAAAGTACCGCCCATCTTAAAAAGAAAGTAGGAGATTTTGGTTTTGGAAAGAGGAAGACTATGGAGGTTATTTTCAAAGAGCAATTGAGTATATTTAAAAAGAGTGATTAGCTATAAATTATATTTTGAAAAGTGATACTTGTATATGAATGTGTGAGTTACTAAGAGTTTATAAATATTATTTTAAACATCAAATTAGTTTTGTGGGAAGAAAATGAATTTTTAAAGTTATAGTTATGTATAAAACTATTTTCGCCAAACGTGACTATTTTACGGGGTTGGGTGGGTCTTACTTAGCTAAAAAGCTAATTTTTGTTTCCTTTTCTTTGTTTTGTTTTCTGCACTTTAATTGTGCAGGTGATGAAGGTTATGCACGATGATGAGAGATGCGTTAAATCACGTAGTTTAGTATTTATAATCACCTAGTTATTGTTTATTTCAGTTTGAGAACATGTAGACATTTAAATTATTTTTGAAATTTTCAGTACTTAAATACTTGGATTATTTTTAGATGGTGGTTTAGTCTGTGCATTCGGTTATGTGAGAACCGAGTGTGGCGGTAACACCCATTTCCCTATTAAGACTTCCGTTGTATCTCTGATGTTTTCAAATAAAGTTGATAATTCCTTTGAATAAATCACTATTTAAATGTATTTTTGGTTGGAGAAAATGGGGGTGTTACAAATTGGTATCAGAGCCTTTGTTTTTCAAAATCTTTTAAAGATTTTCAAAAAACTTTTTGAATTGAAATATTATTTTCATTAATTAAGATTAATGAATCTTATTAGGGAGGAATTTTATGGCTTAGGCGCGTGTGAGATTGTGTGATTGATTTTTTGTTGTTGTATTTTGTGATGTCTTGGATTGATTTGAGATTTGTGAATTGAATGGAATTTTTCCAATGGTTGCTTGTAGGTGTTCCTTATCCTAGAGTATACTGTGAGTTAGTAAACTTGAGAATAGTTATGAGTATATTCCTAGTATCCTATATCTTGTGATCTTAGGTAGAACTTTGTAGGGATCTGTAAGAGTTTCTAGTATTCTGAACTTTGCGTCTCTCTTTTGTAAGAACTATGGCAACCCATAGGAACGTGGTTGAGGTAAGTAAACTCTTAGTATTCTATATCTAGAGCCCTTTTGATAAGGTATTTCCTTCAGTGTTTCATCTCGACTGTGTTTTGACTTGAGCTTCGGGGACGAAGCGTCCTTTCAGGGGGGGAATGTAATACCCTGAAAATTTGAGAGAATTTGGGAAATAATTAAAATTGTGTTTCATATTGTTTACACGGTCTTTAGGTCGTTTATTATGTTTGATTTAGTGTTCGGGACAAAGGGGAGGTCCAAATGGGGAAGAAACGGGGTAAAAACTAAGGTTTGGGGCGTCTGGGGTCACGCACGGCGTGCGTGGAAGGTACGCACGCGTGCGTTCCTGTTGTATCCTAATGCAACTCAAACTTCGGAAATTCACTATAAATACATCCCTAATCCGATTTTCCTCATTCCAAAAACCCTAGGACCGCCTATTCAAGCTCTATCCCTTCCATCTCTTCAATATTAACGTATCCAGCACGAAATTTTATGCCAATGATGAGATCAAACAATCCAATATTCCGGTAAGTGCGTTTGTTGCCTAATTCGCGTCGTTCATCCGTTTCCTAAATTTCTTTCTCCTAAATTGAGATCCTTCGAACCTATCACTTCCTAGGTACGTGCGAATGATCCATCAAACTAGGTTTAACGTTTAGGATTCGTTGCTAGCCTCGAGGTAAGGACTATTGCAACCAAAATTACTATTTTGCCTCTATATTGTATAAACTAGGGTTTGTGCTATGATTTGAGTTTCTTTCTCAAAAAATCAAATGTTCACTTTGAAATTTATTGAAAAGAAATTTACAATGATTTACTAATTATGTGTTCTAACGGATGCGCTCTCGAAATCAACTTCAACAGGACCAACTCAACACCTGTACAAAATCAAGTACAGAAAGAAAAATAAAAGAAATAAACATTAGCAATAATGCTAAGTAAGTCCCACCTAACCTTTTAAAATAATAATAATAATAATATATATAAATTCGTACAACCTTTAGTATAAAAATATTTTCAAAACACTTTATAAATCATAAGTAAATGATATCTATACAAAATCTCAATCACATAACTCGTGAACCATAATAATTCCAAAATACATGAAACACCAAAATTTCTCCTCTATTGAATTTCTCCAAAAATCACTTTGTAACTAACTTCCTAGTAATTTAGAAGGGCGGTGCTCAACACTTTGGTTGAGCCCGGTGGTCCGTTGTTATGTACGGCCACCCCAGGACTATCACCGGTATCACAATTGCTCAATGGAAACGAAAACAACTACTTTTAGTGTGCACATCCCCTAAAGGTATTCCAAGCCTCCATGTTAGTAAGTTGATCCGGGTAGCCAGGATGTTTTCTACCAACTACCCCGCCTCAAAAACTGAATGATTAGGAGCTACTACTACCACTATTACTCAAAAGCCGGGATGTTTTCTACCGACCGTCAATTCACCTCAAACCAAAACCAACAAAAATTGAGTAGTAGTAGACCTAACCACCCTCCACATTTTAAGGGACAAAACCAACACCACGGATTTCTCCCGTGATGCTCACCTTTTATGAAAATATTTATTTTTCTCAAAATCAATCGAAGTTTATACTTCAAAAATTCCCTTTTCATCAAACTCCCACAATGATAACAAATTACGTACTATTACAAAATCTCCCAAAATCGTATACAATCAACAAAACAATATATCAACTAATATCTCAAATACAACCCTTTCATATAATGATATTCACTCAAATTTAGCACACATAAATTCAATTCTCAAATATGTACAAAAAAAATATTTAAAAGAAATCACAAAGAAAAAGAACTAATTTCGGTTGACGTGAAGCTTACCTTAAATCCTGATGCTCCTAATTCTCTTCCTCAATTCCGGTCTCTAAATGTTCACCTTTTTAATTAAGATGATATAATTAGTCACTTATTCTATTTATCCGATTTCCCCCTTTTATTATATTGTTCGAGTTTAGTTATTAATTATTTATACGATTTTATTTTATTAATCACTTTTATTAATCAAGTCACTTTATGAATTCGGCCAATATTTGAATTCTGTATTTATATTAAAAATCTGAATTGTATTTACTTAAAATAATCAAATTACCATACTTTATATTAATCAATATTATTAGCCGATCTGAATGTTATAACAATTTATTAAAACAAACTCATCATCATTAATTTAATCTGATTTTATATGCAAACACTTAATATTTATGAGTCCGTAATTATGTTAATTTGATTAATCTACTTCAATTAGTCCAATAATTAGTGAAAATAATATCTATCCAACTTTATTTAATCTAATTATGGTACCAAGTCTCAATGAATAATTATTATTTGAATATGATAATCATTTATTAACTGTTGTTAATTAAACCATCGATTCATTTTATCATCCAACATTATTTAGTTATGTTAAATAACAATTAATAAATATATCCAAGTGATTACTATCAATCAATCGAGTCAATTTCATCATTGATAATTTCCATCCCAGATTCTATTAATAATTTTGCAGATTACTAATATTATTATTGTTATTATTATTGTTATTATTCAGCCCAAGTATTGACATCCGAATAGTCCAAATATTCTTACTTCAGCCCAAAAGTAAATCCACGTAATGCTATTCAAGAAAGTAAATCCACGTAATGCTATTCTTCGTCTTCCATAGCAATGCGCAGCGTAGTATACGTCACGTCGAAGAACCCGTGATTTAATGGTGGTCCTTTCTTCTAGTGGCGATGGAAGAGCGGCCAGAAGATCCCCCACTCAACGAAGGTGGCGTCTCTCGGCAGCAACGGCTTCCTCTGACGCGAACAAGTCCGGCGGCGATTCCAGTGACGATCAGCAGCAGCAGTTTGTATGGTGACAACAACTCACGGCGGCGCTTCCTCTCCAAGGAAACAGCCCGGCGGCGTTCAGAGGAGACGGTTCAGTCCGGTGAACTCCTCTCTCCGTCGAACTATTCCGGCCGACTGGCAACTACATACACTCCGGCGACGTAGAAACACACGGCTCCAGCAGGTCAGCTCAGATGGCGGCGACGGGCTCTTCCTCCAGCGGCAGCTGGGTTTCTTTTCCAGTGACTCTCTCTTCATTTACGGCGTAGTCCCCTATGGTTCTATCCCTCCGGCGTCGTGCGGTGATAAACAGGGGCGACGAATCCCGGCCTAAATCTCCCCCTCTTTTCCCTATCGATGACGGTATCAAAGTATTCAAGTTTCCTTTTGGTTTTGATTTCCTTTGCCCCTTTTTCCAACGATCGCAAGCCAAGTATTTATACTTGGAAAGAAAATTTTAGGCTTTTCGGTTTATTTACGTTGATTACACTTGACCGTTCCAAAGATTCGTCCTTTCAGTTTCCGCAGCTGTTTGCTACTCCCTATTAATATAGTGCATATATGGTACGATCCGTATACGGTGAGCACTATACGGATTTATATTTTTTTTTCTTTTGTTTTTAAAAAATGGTAATATTTTTTTATTTTTGATTCGATTTTTATAAAATTTATATCAACATTTTTTATTTTTCATGATCTTTCAAATGAGACCAATATTGCCTATGTAATTTTAACATATTAACATTTGCGTGTAAAATATGTAACTTTACGTGTTAAAATATGTAACTCACGTTCAGTCAGGCCAAATGCAACTCGTGTGTATAAATATGTATCTCTACGTGTAACAATATGTAACTTTACGTAAAAAAATATGTAACTCGCGTTCAGACAGGTCAAATGCAACTCGTGTGTATAAATATGTAACTCGCGTGTATAAATATGTAACTTTACGTGTAAAAATATGTAACTTTACGTTTAAATATATGTAAGTCGCGTTCAGGCATGTCAAATGCAACTCGTGTTTATATATATGTAACTCGCTTTTAAAAACATGTAACTTGCTTATAAAAAGATGTAACTTGCTTATAAAAAGATGTAAGTCATTCATAAAAAGATGTAACTTAATGTATTATCAAATGTAAGTGAGGCCACTGATCCACTCCCAAACAGATTCAATCTTCTACTCCCTCCGTTCCATATTTAACTCCGGTTTTGACCGGGCACGAGTTTTAAGATAGTGGGATTTGTGTGGTGGAGAGTTATGCAGAGGAGAGAGAAATGTGTAAGAATGATTGTGAATCACATATTCTTTACCAAAAAGGGGAAAAGGAGATAAATTTGGGACGGACCGAAAAGAAAAGAATGAAGATAATTCCGGGACGGAGGGAGTATTTCACAAACCTATCATCTCCCAAACAGATTCAATTTTCCTTATAATCCAATACTCATTAATATAAAAGTTCGATAATTTCTTAACATTACATAAGCAATATTGGTCTCATTTGAAAGATCATGAAAAATAAAAAATGTTGATATAAATTTTATAAAAATCGGATCAAAAATAAGAAAGTTATCATCATTTTTAAACAACAAAAGCAAAAAAAAAAACAAGGAAGCTGCGTCCTTTTGCAACCGAGCGCACCATCCTCGTGGTGCGCCGGTTGCACGGTATAATTTGCGTTATTAATATCATAAAGAAATTGATCCAATTAGGACTAAAACATAGTCAATACTCCAACCTAGGACTTAATGTTTTTAATTCCCTAATTGGGACTCCCTAATACCATATTACCCATAATATATTAAATCCCTTCTTTGTCTTTCCCAATCTCTGCCTCTCTTTCGCGTAGATCGCCCCAGATCTCTCCCATGTCGATCTGCAGGTCATCTTCGATTCCCTCTCCGCTGCCCAGCAGTGGCGGATCCACTAAGGGTCCCACGGGGTCCCGGGACCCCATGGACTTCCAAATAAATACCTATGTATTATATATATTTTTAATAAAATTAACTATATATATATATATATATATATATATATATATATAGTAAAAGCAATGAACAAAACCAAAGATTGGAGTAGCATAATTGGACCATGCATCACGTTAGAAATTTCTCTCGCCGAGGTACCATGTTCGACTCCCTCACCACCCCTAATTTTTTGTTTTTTAAACTTATTCCATGACATCAAAACAAGGGTGGACCTACATACATCTTCAATTACAGAATTATCTAATTCTTCAATTAATTAGGCATGTAAGAATGTTTTTACTTGAACTTTAATTTGCTGGTCTGGTCTGAAATTTTATTTTTATATTTTTGCATAAAGATTTTATTTTATATATATATTATAATCCATAAATAATTATATTTTATTCATTTATAATTAAAAATAATAATATTCCATCCACATTATCGAAAATTGTTATCGTTTTACTTGGACTAAAGCAGATTAGACCAGATCGAAGCAGATCAGACTAGATCATATAAATACAGAACAACTCAAACTAGATCAGACCATATCAGACTACACTGAACTAGTCCAAATAAAAACAGGACAAAAGATAAAATTAGGCAACCCAGAGCGACGGGTGCATGATGACATTTATTATTTTATACGTAGTAGTACTTTCTTTTTTTCTAAAAAGATTTATAGTTTACCCATTATTCATACAATTTTTTTTACAAATAAAGATTTTATTTATTTATTTTTATTTCTTTGTTTTTTAAAAATCAAGATCATCTATATTATTCTGTCACTTGTATAACTTAAAATACGAACAGACTAAACTATTTTTGGCACGGATTTGGCATATCCCTGCCAAAATCCTTGCCAATTTCGGAAAATCCCTGCCAAAAAACTTTGTCAATCTCGTGTTTTTTTGTAGTGCAAGCTTCATAAACCGTTCACGGGAACCTTCTAGTGGGACGGAGGGAGTATTAATTAGGGACCCCATGACTCTATTTCTCTGGGTCCGCCACTGCTGCCCAGGTCGACTTTTCTCCAGGTAAGTGTTTCTTCTTCTTCTTTCTTCTTCTTTTCCTCCTTCTCCCTCTTTTCCTTTCCTTATCTTCTGTTCTCTGCTCCTCTCTGCTCCATCCTTATTCGTTCAACATTTTAGATTAATTTTATGTTGATGTTTATGTTAATTCTTTTAGATTCAAAATGGAAATTTTTTTAATTGAAAATTTTGGATTTGGAACTTTTGGATTTGAAATTCGAGGCGCTATCAATTGTTCGAAAATATTTGGGTCTAATTTTTTTATTATGTTGGTGTATCAACTCTTAAAAAATGCCACATGGTTGACAATTTTTTGGAGATATATTGACAATTTTTTGGAGATGATAGTATTATATCTTTGAAAGTTAAATGATTTTGATATTTTTGACAAATGATGACATTTTTGCATCTAAAAATGTCATGTTGTAATCTCAAAAATAACATGTTTTTGCATCTAAAAATGTCATGTTGTAATCTCAAAAATGACATGTTTTCGGACCTAAAAATGTCATGTTGTAATCTAAAAAATGACATGTTTTGCATCTAAAATGTCATGTTGTAATCTCAAAATGACATGTTTTTGCATCTAAAAATGTCATGTTGTAATCTCAAAAATGACATGCTTATGGACCTAAAAATGTCATGTTATAATCTAAAAAATGACATGTTTTTGCATCTAAAAATGTTATGTATTTTTCTTTGGTGTTATTATGATGGCAATTCCACCTGAAATTGATAACATACTCTCCAGAGAAGGTAGCCAACATTGGCGGTTGAAGGTGTAGCACTAGACGAATAATATTAGCTGCTTCCGGGCGATGGTTCCAGCAATGGAATAAGTAACGTAGGCGGGGTAGCACCCCTCCGATTATATAGCCAGTATCCCTACAGATATGGGCACGTATCCACTCTCTTTCAAAATCAAATAAGTCTAGGAAAGAAAAAGGAGGTCTGGACGACAACCATTCCTTGAATTTGGTTCAGGCAAAGCGATAGACCCAGAAAGGAAGGAGTGTGGAAGCCACTCGTCTCACTAGAGGGCAAGTAAGCCATCTAGCATGATGTGTGCGTTCTTGCCGAGTGTGTGCAACGGCGGTCTCGCCGGTGGCAGCGGCAGCTCCTCACCGGGCAGTGGCGGTGGCGGTCTTGACGATGACGACTGGCGCGGAGGGTGTTGTTGGTGTCGGTGGTCTTGAAACCCTGTTGCAAGGGGCGTTTTTTATTTTTATTTCATTAAGGGTAATTTTGTCAAATCATCTCTTTTTAGTCCTATTTGTGTTAAATAAAACATAGTGGTCCTATTTTTGAAATTCTACCTTCTTTTAATCCTATTTAGACAATTCTCTCAATATCATATTATTGCTACGCATGACTACATGCATGTATATGTATGTTATGCTATGTTGCTATGTATCATTTATGTATACATCCATGATCCATTATGTAACGTATGTGTATTATGTATGAGATAGTCTAGGAACTATTAACCTGACAAATATTAATTTCGTAGGATTACGATGTGCATTTATTATGGAGCATTTTAGAAATCATACTTTTCTAGTTTATTTTGCTAACTGTTTTTCATGCCATTTTAAATTAATTTTAGTCAACATGTTTGTATGTTATACGGTAATTGTTATTCATAAATTTTGAATCAATTAACGAGGATCCATTATAATTGGAAACAGTTTTACTATGCAAATATCTCTCTTCGTAATTTATTTATTATTACTACTGATTTACTCATTCACATTGTTATACATACGTTTCTTAGGTTTTATTTTGTGTTATTATTATCAATAGTTACTTTGATTTCTTTTTATCAAATGATTTTAATAATGCCATTATATTTTATCAACTATTATTTGTAATTTGAATTTTTAGAGTGTCGCATTCTACCCTCCTTAAAAGATGTTTCGTCCCGAAACATTAACTAAGATCCTATGTCAATTTTTATTTTTTTATTTTTTTTGAGTATTACATTCGGCTATCATATGTATCAACGTATTTGGTTTTCCAAGTTCCATAAAAACCTTTGTCCTTTTTATAGAATTCTCGGTTAGGCGTTTGTCCATAACCAGTTTTGTGCTTTTGAACCGATTTATTGAACCAGGTTGGTCCAGTTCTAGATTCCCTTTGTATGGACTAGAGCTGGTTTGCCCTCTAGTTCTGTTACCATTAAAGGGTTGGTTCTAAAAACCAGTTTTTTGATTTATTTGGGTTTCCCTTGGAACATATCTGAGACCAGCAGTCTCGTTTTCCTTTCTTTTGTACCAAGAGGGTTCAGTTCTAGAATAAGGTCTAGACGTGGTTCTGTTCTTGGTACTATACGGCTGGTATTCCGGTTTATTTTTGAAATCTTGTCTCTCGGCCTCAAGGCGATTAAGGTGTTCAATCAGCACACCAATGTT